GTAACGTATACAAAGCCAGATCCAAGTTCAATAAAGTGGGCTGACATAAAAAAATGAATAGGAGATATGTGAATAATTGATTTGATTTTAGTTAATGCCGACAAATGTAGAAACACCAGAAACAAGAAGTTGCTCTAATTTCCCTAATCTCTTACAGCGATTTATAATCATGACGGATGACGACAAGATGGAGTGGGTTGAGACGACCGAGGAGGTTAATGAGTCTGAGGAATGCGTCTCCCTGAAGAACAGCGATCCAACAGGTGAAGAGTCATAAATGTATTTTAATCTTTATGAAAAATTATATTTGCCTCTAAAAGCTTCTTAAATGTTGCATCTCTTTCTATATAAATTTGCAGATTTGGAGTCAACTGAAACATCACTCCAGAAACTGTTGAACGCTGTGGGGCAGGATGAAAGCGCTGAAGGACATGATGGCTTTTGTAAGCAAGCTAAATGCCCCCACAACACACACATCAATGTTTCTCTATCCTCGTGGGGACTTGCAATTAACTTCCATTCATTTCTAACCCATTTCTACAGCCTAAACGTGACCCTAATCCTAAACATTACAGGTTCATAACTAATCCTAACCTAAACTCAGTTCACACCTTAGTCCTACACCTAAAGGCCAATTTATGCTTCTGAAGCATAGCCTCTGTAACTGTCAGATCTGTCTCTGTACCGCCCCCCCACAGTCGCAAACCCGTGCAGACTTCAAGCGGAAGTGTGCAGACAAAAAGCAGCTGTGATTGGTCCTTGGTATGCCTTTCCAGCTGTCTGTGTGGTCGTCCTTCTCCATTCGGTGCTGGGGCGTGCCATTTTTAAAAACCGAGAAAGAACTACAAAGGACAACGTATGCGTCCTCCTTTGTTTTTTTGCCAACTCCATTAACAGAACCTGTTCCTCTTCGATGTCTAGCAACTCTAGATCCATCTCCGTGACCATGATACCTTGCAGATGCGCCATTGTTGTTTTGGAAGATAAACACTCCCGCCGGCGTCTCCAAGGTTCTAGTGACCATAGGGCTGGGCGATAATTCAATAACGATATATATCGATCGATAGACGTGTGGCGCAATAGAGAAAAAGAGAGTCGATAAAAGTTCGATAAAGAAACACAGTTTTCCTTCCTTCTCATTGTAGCCTAGCATGTAGGTTTATGCTAGTCACTTCTTCCTCCCAA